AGTTTATCATTCTTAACTCCTAACCGTGTTTAATTTTGCCATTTACCATATTAAGGATAACTCTATCCAAATTACACTCATTATCCTCGCTTAGTTTTATCCATTTAGAACATATATTAAGGATAACTCTATCCAAATTGCACTCTTAATCCTTGTTTAGTTTTATCCATTTAGAGCATAATACGTGGATGTTAAAGAAATATTCTGAAATTTTAAGATAAGACAGAATTGAGGATTTTATCCTAATGAGAAAGGTCTGCACGCCATTCAACACAAGGCAGACGTCAGGAACCGATCAAAATGCATTGCCAGAAAACCCTAGTAACAAAATTATATAAACAAAGTTACTCTAAGATGTTAGCAAGTCCATTGCAAACAATGCACCTTCAACTCATGGTATCAAATTATCAACTAAAAAATCTTAACAAAATTCGCTTTTCTTTGTATTTGACAAGACGCTTTACTGATCTTTTTTTAACTAAAAGAATAGAAAAGTTGACAAGAACGAAGAAATTAATCAAAAAAGAAAAAGAGGGATAATCAATCAATCGCATGAACGACCACTAAAATTCAACCGGGTCCCCCTCTCACAACCTTACTTATCATTATGGCATCGCAGTAAGAAAAGAAAAAGATAAAATTAGTGGAGTATGGAATTGATTCCTACTTAGTTAAAAAGCAACAATAATTCGGGAAATCATGCTTTGTTTTTCTCTTATTATTCTCGCTCTCTTTTAATTTTTTTATACTGCCATATCTCCCTCGAATCCATGTAAATATGGGGCTCTTGGAAGGCAGACTTTCTCTTGGGAGGCATGATATTTCCTGAAAGGCAGGAGTTCGTCTGGAAGGTAAGACGCATACACGAGTTTAACTTGCTCGGCACTTTGGCAGTTCAGTTGGGAGGACTCTTGGACCCTGGCCAGTTTGGAGCACAACCCGCGGTTTACTTGATCTGTGTGAAGAGGGATTGGATCGTAGATCCCAAAATTAATCTCTGTAAGGTGAACACATGGTTATCCAAAAAAAAAAAAATGTCCAACTTCTAGCTGAAAATCTAATCAACATATTTTGCAAGTGTTCTCAATTCAAATTTCAACTAATTTTAAAATACATGTCAACAAATTTCATGAACTTGAATAGGTTTTCACATAATAAATAAAAAATCTCATTAAATCCTTGTTTGAGCTTTATTTTTGTGTCAAAATACATTTTGAAATAGTGTTTTGTTCGAGAATGTGTTGCTAAAAAATAATTTTTTTTTATTAATGTGTAAAATTATTTTACAAGAAAATGTGTGATTAAAATGAGTTTTTTTTTTTAAAAAAGAGTTTTTGAAAAAATAGGGTCAAACATAAGCTAAAAATGGAGAAATTTTAAAAGAGTTTATGTGTACTTTTAAGTTTGAAGTTCATCTAAATCTTTAGAAATCATTATAAATTTGCGAGTTAATGATACCTAAATTTTAAAAGATTTTATCAAAATTATTAAACTATAAGTTGGAGATATTAAGGTGGGTGTTTGAGAGTAATTTTTCATCCCAAAAAATCAATTTTTTCATCGTTATTTTACTATTTCAGTTGTAATTTTTGATTTCTTATCTTACAAATGCCTACACTTTTCTCATAATGGTCAAAAAATTAATTCTAAAAATTCCTACCAAATATGGCCTAAATAACTTAGAAGTTTTATAAAATCCAATAAAATCTTTATTGGGAAACCTGAATTTAGAATCTTCCAAGATGAAAGTAATCACACTTTAAGGTGCATTTGGAATCGTAATGTATTTCCATACACGTTTTCATAAAAGTAATTATATGTGGCCATTTTGTGGAAATATTAGTCTCACATCAAGTTCAGTAATTTTATAAAACTATCAAACTTATTCACAACTTATTTTTATTTATTTTTAAATTTTAATAAATAATGTTTAATTTAAATTAAATCCATATTTGATGGAGATTAAAATTAAAATTTTATTAGTTATTGATGAAATGTATGATTAAAAAGTTGTGGGTTCTATAAAATATATTATTAAAATTAATTGTTCACTTTGACATCGACTTCAATTAAAATTAGATTTTTTTATAGATTATGATAGAAGTTCTTGAAATTTGTGATTGAAAAATTATGAAACTCATGAAAAATGTAATTAAAAATAATTGTTTGACTTTAATTTAAATCAGATTTTAATCCAATCAAATATGCACTAAATCAATCAATTGATGACATTTATGATTGGGCAATAAAGATCACCTTTCCCATCAAACAAAACAATGGTAAAAAATAACGATTATATATAAAACTTACATATTCATTTATCAATAAGTAATGTAATAAGTCAAAATCTCATCTACCAAATAAATATTTTTCCCCACTTTCTTCTTGATATCTTATCATTTTGTAAATGATTATATAAATAGTAATATACAATAAGTTCGATTTTGTTGTTTGTACATTCAGGGCTTGACAGCCCAGATGGCAACCCTCTCACAAGAGGGGGTTGTGCGGTTATTTTATCAAGTGCGAATCCCTGCTCTCGGGAGGGGTTATCATCCGAGTTGTCCAGTCTGAATGTACAAACAGCAAATTTTTTTAAGTATTTTTCAAAACACTGCAGGTGCATTTGATCTTCCGTAGTCCTATCACACTGTAGAACTCCACCTATTTCCGGGAATCTGAAATCACTCCTACAAGTATTATAAATGTTCGCTCAAATCTCACTTTTCAAACCCTCCATATAGCCGTGACTGTTTCTCTCCAAATTTTTGACTCACTTCCATTGTCTTTTACTTTTTTATTTCTATTTAACAAATTTTCGGCGAGGGTTCCGGCGAGAATGGGGGCGGCGCTGCTGTCAGATCTGGGGACGGAGATCGCGATCCCGGTGTGCGCAGTTATTGGTATAGTGTTTTCGCTCGTGCAGTGGTTCCTTGTTTCGCGTGTGAAGGTCTCACCGGAACACGCCGAGTTGTCTCTGGGAAGCAAAAATGGCAAGAATGGATACAACGATCACTTGATAGAGGAAGAGGAAGGCATCAACGACCATAACGTCGTCGCGAAGTGCGCCGACATTCAGAACGCCATATCCGAGGGTTAGCATTTATATTCACTGGTCCAGATCTCTCAACAATTAATACAGATCTGATATTATTTTAGTTTGTATATTAATATTAGTACACGTTTGGTTTTATTTATTTATTTTTATTTTTGAAGTTACTTATAACTATTATATTTTCCAAAGTTTAAATTCGTTAAAGGAAACTCAGTGAATGCTTTTTTAGCTGAACTAAGCTGGTAAAATATTGAATTTTTTAATCATTTTTTTCCTGTGCTTTAGCTATTAAATTTACTCCTTCCCAAATCGAGTGTCTTATTTTTTTATGTAATTATCGAACGACAAAATGCCCTATTTGGACCGAGAAAGGAATCAAAGTCCTTAGTTTTTATGCATTAAAATTTAAATTGTATTTAAAAAATAAAGTAATGAATTGAGCAAAAAATGAAATATTTTCAGCGAATCTCTTCCTGACTCACACCGATGCCGTCCCTTGTTTGGGATTTTGTCGGTGGCTAGGAGAGGGAGACGGGAGTTTAGGTTTTTTTGCACGTAACAAAGTGTTGGGGTGTAAAAATGATACAAATGAGCTGGCACTGAGCGTAGATCCATTTTTCACTTTTTGTTAAAGCGCAACGTTATTTTTTTATTGTACCATATTTTGGGAACAATATAGAGTATATTCTATATTCTCCTCACAGATGGGGTGGTGATCTATTATTGACATGTTTTCCGTCTCTGTTATCATATAATAATTGTCTCAATTAAAGAGTAAAGAGTAGTTGAAGTGTGCATTGCACGTGAAGGATGGTGTTTCTTTTTGCGGCATTCGTTAATCTTTTCTTTCACTATATTGCTGTCGGTGTGGATGGTGTTTAGCCTATGGCAGTCTTCTAAAAGAAATAAAAAGTACGAAGTAGGGTGGTCAAGTTTTGGACTCAACGGAAAAAAGTTTTTTTATATTTTAATATTATATTTTTAAATTTTAAATCAAATTAAAAATTATTTAATAACTAACCAAAAAAACCTAGAAAAAGCGCACCTAAGCCAGACTAGGTGCCAAAAAAAGCGAAAAATGCGGCTGTCTAGGTGCCACTAGTCAATACAAACATTGGTCTATAGTATATCAATATAAATAATATTTATGAGAGCATGTTTGTGACCTTAATAAGTTTACCAATAGTTATATGTAATTTTTTGATCAAAAAATAAATAAAATTGGAAATAAGTTAATAGGAGTTACTTTTATGCTATAACTTGAATTACATAAATTTTTTACATATCCGAACATCTTTAAAAAATTAATATTTTCTTATTTAAGCTTAGCCAATATTAAACCGATTTGGTCACTAGCTTGACCTCTGCCCCTGCATCAATGGTTGGACTGAAGTTTAAACATCAATTCATTGTGGAAGGAAGTATTATGATTTTAAGAAAACCTATTATTGATTTTTTTATAATTAAGATGTTTCATTAATACGTTGTTTTGTGATTATCCTGCAAATTATTATAAATAAGTGCAGTTTCCTATTGTCTATCTTATAAGGTTAGGTTATACAAATATCTATGTTTTACCGAGTCTACTATTTCTGGTTGTAACAGGTGCAACATCTTTCTTATTTACGGAGTATCAATATGTTGGTATTTTCATGGTTGCTTTTGCAATTCTCATCTTTTTGTTCCTGGGCTCTGTGAAGGGTTTCAGCACAAAGAACCAGCCTTGCACCTACGACAAGGAAAAATTGTGCAAGCCTGCTCTTGCAACTGCTATCTTCAGCACCGTATCCTTTTTGCTTGGTGCTGTCACTTCAGTGCTTTCTGGATTTCTTGGGATGAAAATTGCTACATATGCAAATGCAAGAACTACATTGGAAGCCAGAAAAGGTGTCGGGAAAGCTTTCATTACTGCATTCAGATCTGGTGCAGTCATGGGTTTTCTCCTCGCTGCAAATGGTCTCTTGGTGCTATACATTACCATCAATCTCTTCAAGCTGTACTATGGTGACGACTGGGAAGGCCTCTTCGAGGCAATAACTGGCTATGGTCTTGGTGGATCTTCCATGGCTCTTTTTGGGAGAGTGGGAGGAGGTATTTACACCAAGGCTGCTGATGTTGGTGCTGATCTTGTTGGGAAGGTTGAAAGGAACATTCCAGAAGATGATCCCAGGAATCCTGCCGTACGATATAATACTTCCCTGAAGTCACATTCTTTGGCATGGGAATGTATCGTAATTGATTTCATTTTTGTCTGCTGCAGGTGATTGCTGACAATGTTGGTGATAATGTTGGGGATATTGCTGGAATGGGGTCTGATCTTTTTGGTTCATATGCAGAATCATCATGTGCTGCTCTCGTGGTGGCTTCAATCTCTTCTTTTGGATTGACTCATGACTTCACTTCAATGTGTTATCCACTGCTTATTAGTTCCATGGGAATCCTTGTTTGCTTAATTACCACCCTTTTTGCTACTGACTTTTTTGAAATCAAGGCTGTCAAGGAAATTGAACCAGCATTGAAAAATCAGCTTATTATTTCCACCGTTCTTATGACTGTGGGAGTAGCAATTGTTACCTGGACTTGCCTGCCGTCATCCTTTACAATTTTCAATTTTGGTGTTCAAAAGGTGGTGAAGAACTGGTAAGCTTTGATTTGGTGGCAAAGAGTGATTGGCATTTTTACCAGCCTTTATTAAATAGGGGTTGCAATGGTTCAAATTTAGGCTCAAATATGTTTTCTGGGATTTTTGGGTTTTATCCCTAACTAGTCTCATATTTACATTATGCTAGCCTGATGTTTCTTAAGTTTTCTTCGTATATTGCTTATGCATTCACTTCATTCAATGAAGCATCATTAGTGTTTTTTTTTTCTTTTTTTTATGTGTCTCTATAATTTTTTCAGTACCTATTTACATAATGTGGCTAAGTGTTGCTTGAGCTTTGTTCCTCCATTGTTTATGCATTCATTTTATTCAGTGAAAGCATCATCATTAATGTATACCTCATTACTCTTATTTTTTGGGTACCTTTACGCATTGTGGCTTTACAGGCAGCTGTTCTTGTGTGTGTGTGTCGGGCTTTGGGCTGGACTTATTATTGGTTTCGTGACTGAGTACTATACCAGCAATGCTTACAGGTGAGCCTAACTATTTCTATGTCTTAATGCAACAATATCATTTGATCCCTACATTCTTTTTATAGCATCAGTTTTCTTGCTAGAATCTGATTTCTTCTATCCTATTCATTTCCGCCCTCCAGCCCCGTGCAAGATGTTGCTGATTCCTGCAGAACTGGTGCTGCAACCAATGTAATATTTGGCCTTGCACTGGGATACAAATCGGTCATCATTCCTATTTTTGCCATTGCAATTAGTATTTTTGTTAGTTTCACTTTTGCTGCCATGTACGGGATAGCGGTTGCTGCCCTCGGAATGCTTAGCACAATTGCCACTGGGTTGGCCATTGATGCTTATGGTCCCATCAGTGACAACGCTGGAGGAATTGCTGAGATGGCTGGAATGAGCCACAGGATTCGTGAGAGAACTGATGCCCTTGATGCTGCTGGGAATACCACTGCTGCTATTGGAAAGGTTTCTGCATGTTTTCTTTGTTTTTGTCCTCGTATTTTTTGTCCAGATAGTTGTCTTTTTATCTTTGTAATTAGATAAAAGATACAAGTGCACTTGTATCATCCTTGGAAACATGAAACAGTTACCATCATTTATGTGATAGCTTGCTACCTTCTGCCAAAGCTATGGTTATTGTATCTGTTCATAACCTAATTTTTATTTGTACATGCCGGCTATATATCTCGACCTATAATCCTTGTTTGTTCCCAGGGATTTGCCATTGGATCTGCTGCACTTGTGTCGTTAGCGCTATTCGGTGCCTTTGTGAGTCGGGCAGAAATTACTACAGTTGACGTCTTGACTCCTAAAGTGTTCATCGGGTTGATAGTTGGTGCTATGCTTCCCTACTGGTTCTCTGCCATGACAATGAAGAGTGTGGGCAGTGCAGCTTTGAAAATGGTCGAGGAAGTTCGTAGGCAGTTCAACACTATTCCTGGTCTGATGGAGGGTCACACCAAGCCCGATTATGCTACCTGTGTGAAGATCTCAACTGATGCATCCCTCAGGGAGATGATTCCTCCTGGTGCCCTTGTCATGCTTACACCTCTAATTGTCGGAATCTTCTTTGGAGTTGAGACCTTGTCTGGAGTTCTTGCCGGTTCTCTTGTATCTGGTGTACAAGTACGAGTTTCCTGGCAGTACTCTATTTCCGTTCCCCATGAATGTTTAACACCTAGTTTGTATGCATTAAAAATAATTTATTTTTCAGTTTTTTATCGTGATTTTTCTCGACTTTCCGTGTTGTCTTAATACAGGTAGCAATATCTGCATCGAACACTGGTGGTGCGTGGGACAATGCCAAGAAGTATATTGAGGTAATAACTTTCTTTTAAGTGATGAAAGTTTGTTCTCTCGTTGTATAGTATATTTTTATATTTTTTTTTATTAGGCTGGTGCTTCTGAGCATGCAAGGACTCTTGGGCCGAAGGGATCCGACCCACACAAAGCAGCTGTTATTGGTGACACCATTGGGGATCCTCTCAAGGACACTTCGGGCCCTTCACTCAACATTCTTATAAAGCTCATGGCAGTTGAGTCGCTTGTGTTCGCTCCCTTCTTTGCCACCCACGGTGGACTTCTTTTTAAGATCTGAGGTACGAAAATGCCCAGGGAAATTAAGGGAAAGGACGTCATTCTACTTCAGAATATCATACATTTGTCGTCTCACTACTCTTTTCTATGTTTTAAGTTAGCTGGTATCTGGAATTTTATTTTAGATGAGCTGATGATGATGATGATAATTGTAATGATAAGTGCAATGGTGTGGTGTGGTGTGAATTGGCGATCTTATCATAGGATAGCTAAGTTCAAATTTTCAGGACGATTAGTATCGTTTGTTTTCCCTATAACCCTATTAATTTTTGTTTCAAGGACTTCTGAGTTTAAATTTTGGTGGGGGTGAAGAAGGATGTCAATCTCATCATCGTTCGTTACTGTCCATTTTTCATCACATTGTTTATTGATTGACTACCCGCCCCTCTTTAGCTGAGGTTTTCTCCAAGAAATAACCTGTCACAATTTCTTCATATTAAAATCAAATGACAATAAAACTCACAGGTCTGGCACAACTTGGCCAGACAGTGCCCAGCACGGTCCATTAGTAAACTGGGTAGTGTTGGTTCAACACTGTCCGGTCTACGCCCTATCTTCCTCTAAACAGCAGGGAAGCCAAGATCTCCTGTTCTATCTTCCAACCCACAACACTCTTCCACTTGTCTACTGCAATTTTGGTGTAAGTCAATAGTTAGAAACTTGCTAAGATCTTAACGCAGCACCATGGAAAATCGTACATTTCCTACATGACATCATCATCACCAAACCACAGACAATGTATTTTGTCCTTCACAACTTCGACGAAATTTAAACACCCTAGAGCATGTGACTTCGATCACATTATCACATTCAATTTCCATCCCCAATCAAACAAACAATGGAACAGTGGAATCCCAATTACAATACCTCTCAGGCAACTCTATGGCTTATGCGATATAGAACAATAGCAAAGGCATACAAGTCTTTTTATGTGGAAGCTTCTTCCTTGGTTGTCCAAGAAAGCAAAATTTTCTAAGATCTTTATCCCAATTTCCCCAATCAAACTCGATCATTTTCTACTCAGAAGCAATCTGGGGTACCTGTTTTTTAGAGTCTAACGAGTTGCAAACTCGAGTCAGGACAAATCTCCTCCACCCCAAACTTCTTCGGACTCGAATTATGCAGACTACTGAAGATTGGATTCCAAATTATTCCCCCCCCCCCCACCCCAACCCAACCCCCCTCCTAAATTTCTCTCCTCTATCCCTGTTCTTCTCAATATTTTGTTGTTCTACATAATGCATCACTACGTTAAGGCTTCTCTAGCGAGATTACAAATATGTAATCAGAAGGCCAATGAAATCATGTCAGAGTTCATAAGGGTCCAGGCTAGACAAGTTGCCTTTTAAACTGGAGGAAAAGATTCGAAAAATTATAGATGCTACAGAAACTCAAGAACTTCAGTCCCTTCGATTAAGCAAGAAGAAATTGCCACGATAATATGCCTTACACAAACTCAATTGAGCTTCAATAAGGAACTGATCGAAGTGACGAGTGTAACGTCCCGAAATTTTATTATATAGAATTATTTAGTGATAAGGATTTTGATCTAAGCATACTTTGATAATATTGAAGTTTGAGAGACTAAATTAAAATAGTATTAAATTCAATTTTATTTTGACCAATGCGATTATATGTATATCAATAGTGGGCTCATTGCGTATCTCGTAATTAATTAGGAGTCTTGGATTCAAGAAAAAGTTGTTTTGGATAAAATCATATCAGATTAAATCCGATTAAAAGAATATAATTTTGAATGAAATTTAAAGGAATTTTAGATATAATCTAAAACCCATTTTCTTCATTTTTAACCCACGTTGTTTTGATAATTATGAGTTTGATTATGATAAATGTTGATTGAAATTTTAATTTGATTTTGATAATGGCTTTTTATGATTTCGATATGGTTTAATTATAATATTAATTTGATAAAGTTTAATAGTAATCATAATTCTATTATTTGAAACCAATTTTTAACCAAATATATTGTATTACACAGTTTTCAATTCTAGTTGTATATAAAATCAATTGAAATTTTCAACTATAAATGTTATAAGAATTCTCATCATTTTACCACAGAAAATAAAGTGAGCTATGGTATAGAGAGAGAAGAGGAAAAAGTATAGAAAAATAAATAGGAGATTTTTTTATTTTATTTTTTTACACACAAGATTTTATTCGTTTTAACTTTTCAATAATGATCTAAGATATTTTTGTACAAGTGATTTGTTTCCGTATACGTTTATATTCAATTAAATATGTATGAATTGTCAGGGAATCTTCAGATTCTTTAGAAAGAGATATGAACTCCTTCGAATATTTAAGATGACCTCAAATGGGCTTGTCACTCGGTCACCGATAATAAGAGAATAGTGATATGAAGTGTTTATTTATTTGTTATATAAATTGTGTATAGAAATTGCACATATCTTATATGGTATTTTTAAATATTCACTCTCACAATAATCTTACAGGTTACCGTAGGTTGATTGGATCGGTGGTGAGATAATGATGCGGGTTGCCAAGCGGGATCGAAGAAAAAGAAAAAATAAATATTAAAAATTTCTATCTTGGAGCCGTGTGATATGAAAGTCTCATGCACGGTTTTAATGTCTTTTTCTAATAAGCCAATTCATTTGGGACCTTGTAGATCCGCTCTTTTTCCTATTCAAAGATCAACCCACAGGCTTTGTTGAGATTTAATTAGTATCGTGTTTATGTTCTTTCTTTCCTTTTTTTGTTAGAAAAGATTTCCATGATTTAAATTTTGTGAACGTTTCAGTTATTTTTATATTTTTCTAAAGAAATTTATTTTCATCGTTCCGCAATTAAAACAAAGAGAATTGAGTTTTTAGTAACACTTTAAGATTTATGAAATTTTGGGGGTGTTACAATGAGTAAAAATTAAAGATGATGAGATATCTTCTAAATAGAGAATGTTAAAATATCAATCCACAACATCATATGGTGGACAAATATTGAAGCAAAATTAAATAAAAGAAGATTCCCAAGGTTACACAATCATCAAATAATAAGAAATGTTTCCATTTTCATAATAAATACGAAGACAAATCCTCCTGGCTACATGTAAAATCCTATATAAATGTAGTTTCTTCAACTGATTAACCGAAAATTAAAGTTAGTAAGAATGTTTCTCACTTTTTCTTCTTCCGTGGCCGTTGGACTTCCTCCTCGTTGTTGTCATCATCGTCGTCATTGTCAATGTCATCATCATCATTCTCGTCATCTTCTTCATCACTACCTCCATTGCCATTAGGGCATTAGCCCTCACCTCGTCATCAAAATCCACATCAAGTTTCCGTTGTTATCTTAGCGTGGGGATACAAAGATTGTAAAGATAGGTGTCACTTCATAAACCCAATAGAAACTTGAATTCTTCATGTGCTAAATAAGATTGACTTTAACGAAGACATGGAAGATTTCCACAAGCCATTCTTGTATCTGTTGGAGAGAATATTGGAGCTACAAATTTTGGAGTTGTAGATTTAGGAGCTACAAATTAGTTGTGGCAGTTAACTCTTGCTTTTTTTGAGGAAAGTTATTTTTTGATTCTACTGCAAAAGCAAAGGTTGAGGGTTCAACAACCTGAGTATGTTGGTTTTCCAGCAATGTTTCATAACTGAGGAGTTCTGCATAAAAGTCCTCAAGAGTTAAATCTTTCTCTCTTGTAGCAAAGTTAAATGAAGTGAAGATCCTGATCTTCTACAAGTTTTCCAGCAGCTACAAATTGATTAGCAATATATTTAGCATCTTCAAAGTAAATAGTACATGTCTTATTACCCTGAGTCAGCATTTGAAGATGTCATTTAAGCAACGCAATCTGTGATCTGGATTGTGATGAGAAACGAGTTTGGAGAGCACTCCAAACTTTCTGTGAACTGTCCAAATTGCAAACAGTTGATGCAATCTTCTCTATGATGGAAGCAAGGAGCCAGCTGAGTACACAGTTGTTCTTGCAAAACCAAACTGTATATGATGGATTTGATGAGCCATCTTGAAGTGTCTGTGATGGTGCAACATCTGAACGATCCACGATTCCAATGAGATCGTGACTTCGAAGAAAAGCCACAAACTGGTTCCTCCATACCATATAATTGTAGCCATCCGGTTTGTTTGAAACAAGTTGAGAGGGTTGGTATGGTGAAAGAATGTATCTCAGGTATAGCCATTTGTGTCTCGGGTGTAGCCATTTGTGAAAGGTGCGGAAGTTTTGTGGTTATGCAGGATCAGGTATGTGCCCTTTTCTGCTCTGATACCAAGTAAGAAACATGAAAAGGATAATAAACAGATTACTTTGAATGCTTTAGCTCACACTAAAGAGCCTTTGTATCACTTTCTTTATATAGCCATACATTGAAAATTGATCTCAGAATATCAAGGAATCAGTTGGCAAGAATCAATCTATACAGGATTAAGTTTAAACAATTGAATTCAAAAAGTTATTATCCTCAGAAAAAGCAGGAGTTAACTGCCACAACTAATCTGTAGCTCCTAAATCCGCAACTCCAAAATCTGTAGCTCCAATATTCTCTCTAACACATAACTAGGACTACTGGCTAAGCTTGAATCAATAAATAGATACCATTCAATCTTTCTCTAGATTCCAACCAATTTGGCATATTAGAAAGTGAAATATATACCATACTACCAAAATTCACAAAGTCATGCAAGCAAAATGAATTAACTAAGCCAAACATTAATTTTAATTTTAAATGGTGAGGAGATTTTCTCTATAATCCTAAGATGATATTTAGAAAATATGTAAACAGAATTTTGATCCAACTTCGCTTCTCAAGCTCACACCAACCAAACACAACATTCTGAACAGGTACAATGAAAGCTAAAGTAAAATTCAAGATTACAAAAAGAATCCAACGAACAAGAATCGGTAACATAGCCGAAGTCCTATTAGTAAAAATAAAAAATAAACCAATAACTCAAGAAAGAAAAGAAATAAAGTATCAATGGAACCTATGCAATCGCATGGCAGCATTACTAAAACTAGATAATGTACCGAGAAAAGAAGCAAAAGAGGAGAATCCTGGGCAACAAAAACTACTCCAAGAACCATAGAACCCATCATCCTCTGTAAAACAACAACAGCAGAGCGCAATTTCTCCACCTCCGTTCTTTTTCCCTCTTTTCACCATCCAGAAAACTAGGGTTGGGCTTTGGTGGTAAACGAGGGAACAAGATGAGTTAATTGTTCCAATGGTCACTAAACTTATTCCATGTCTTTGATCGGTGGATGAAGCTTAAAATGAATCTTATCTTAGTGAACAATCAAACACGGGAATTTAATTTCAGTGATCAAAATTAGACATT